TTTTTTTCCATTTCGGGTCACAAAAATCTTCCCAAAAAAGAGTATTGTTGACAAGTGATTGAACTTAAGAACTTACCAATACTCACCAACTGAGTGAAGGTATTTTGTGCCGTGACTTCACCGAAAAAGGAATAACAATAGGGTAAAATCTATACTATGGTAATAAATTATTATTAAAAATTATTTGAACCAATAAATTCCTGATATTTTTGAATTAATAGATTCTATCATGGAATTCAATGATATGCTATAATATCTAGAATTAAGATGCTCGTATCCTGGATTCTTTACAAATGGTTTTTTGGATTCAACCATTTCAAGTCATTTTTTTTCAGCTCCTTTAAATTCTAACCAAGTATCACATTTATCTGGATAATGTTTTTTGATAGCATCTTCATAATAACCAGAAAAATCATCATAATAATAATATTTCGATTCTTTTGATAATTTATAAATTTCTTGTATTGTTGGCCGTTGAGAAGGATTAGGATGCCAACATCTTTTCATTAAATTAGCCTAACATTTTGATGTATCTTCTGTAATTTCTGGTCTTTTTCCATCTAAAATATCTAATATATGTTTTGGTCCATGTTCTTGATCATGAAATGGTCTATGTCCTGATATCAATTGCCACATAAAATATAAATATCTGATGCATATGAATATGGTTGGAATTTAAATAATTCTGGAGCCATATATGGAATTATTTTATAGTTGCTTGTTGACTAAATCCTAAATCTGAAATAAAAGCAGTATTTTTAATAAGGATATTGCCGCTATGTAAATCTCGATATAAAATTTTCTTATTATGAATTCTTCTAATTGCTCTAACAATATCTGATAAAAAATTTAATTTTTCTTTCCATGTTATTTTTACAAAGTTTTTATTTAGAAAATGATGCAAGTCTCCATCTTTTGCATAATCTAAAATAAATGCATAATTTTTAGTCTTGGAATTTGGGTCACTCCATGACATTCGATTGTATATCCACTGAAGTGATATATATATTTTAACTATATTATGGAATAAAATATAATAAATATAAATAAAAAAATTCAATAAATTTTTAATAAAAAATTCTGTATCTACATTCTGGGACTCATTTAGGACTTTTAAAATAATTTCTGTTTTTTGCGTTTAAAAAATCCCTTTTCGATTTGTATGTTCTATAAATTGGTTTCCCCAAGTTACTTTATAAATTTCGCTAAAACCTCTCTTCCCAATAATTTCTACATTTATAAAATTTTCATATGGAACCCATATTAAAAAATTTTCATTGCTTGAAAATTGTATTTTTTTGATGAAATTATCAATTTTTTTTTATTGCCACTGTCAACAATTTGTGATTTCATAGCATTACATCGTCGACATAAATACGAACTATTAAAAAGGTTTCATTTGTTACATTTCATACATTTAATATTCTTATTGGATCCATCAAGTATTCTTGAAATAAAAGGCATTTTTTAAATGAATTTACGAATTGTAGATGATTGAAAATTCCTATTTTGAAGAACATAAATAATAAATAGTTTGGGACCTTTTTGAGAAAAAAGGAAATGATTTCCCTTTTTTTTAAAAAAAAAAATTTTACGAGATAATTTTATAAATTTTATTTTGTTATAATTTTATTTTTTTTAAATAAAAAACTATTTGTTTACTTTGTTGAAGATTTAAAATGAGATGTTTTATAAATTTATTAATTTAAAAAAAACAAAACTTTAATGTTTGACCAGAACGATATCCTTTATAGATATTACACTTTTTTTTTTTTTTTTTTTTTTTTTTTTTTTAATCCTTTAGACGCAATTTCTCTTTAATTTTTTTTTTCTCTTCGGTTTGCTTTTTAGATATACTT